CTTGCTTTCCTTCTCGGCGGGGGGGGGGCCATCTATTCGGAAGAACTCGTGATCTCTTGCAGACTGCACTTCTTTCTTTAGGGTGGTATACGCTCAGGGCTGCAACAACTAATCGGCTTAATCGATTATTGAAATAGTTGTCAACTTTTTCAATCATCGATTAATCGGCTTCCGATTTTGGTTGGCCCCGTTTACGGCTGCGCGCCGCACCTCCTCCCCAGCAATAGTACATTATACAGTGGTGCGATGCCGAATACCACCAGCTATAGAGGACTACAAAACCCAGCAATAGTACATTATACAGCGCAATGCAGAATACCGCCAGCTATAATGTATTATTGCTGGGATTTTTTGTACTCTATAGCTGGTGGTATTCCGCATTGCACCACTGTATAATGCAGGGGGTCTCAAACCTCCGTCCCTCCAGCTGTGGTGGAACTACAAATCCCATGAGGCATTGCAAGATTCTCACAGACATGACTCCCAGAGAGAGAGATGCATCATGGGATTTGTAGTTTCACCCCACAGCTGGAAGGCCGGAGGTTTTAAACCTCTGTGTTACATCAAAGATTATTAGTTTACACAGCTTGTTGCACTAAACTGTTTGCAAAATACAGCAAGGTGACCCAGGGGAAAGAGTGAGGAGAGACAGCCAGGAGAGCAAAGGGAGACAGCCAGGAGAGAAAATGAGGAGAGTGAGAGAGAGCGAGGAATGACAGCCAGGAGAGAGAGGGGAGAGACAGCCAGAGAGAGAGCGAAGAAGGACAGCCAGGAGGATGAGGAAGGAGAGGCAGCCAGAGAGAGGAGAGACAGCCAGGAGAGAGAGCGAGGAAAGACAGCCAGGAGAGAGAGGAGAGACAGCCAGGAGAGAGAGCGAGGAATGACAGCCAGGAGACAAAACGAGGAATGACAGCCAGGGGAGAAAGGAGAGACAGCCAGGAGAGCGAGGGAGGTTTTTATTTCGTTGGTAGATCTCATGTAGCTCATCATTTGAAAAGTAGATCTTAACACAGAAATTGTGGGCACCCCTGGTTTAAGGCAACTGCCACGAAAGTGAACGAACAAGGTGACAGGGTCTCTTTTAAATGTTTGAGTCATTTATATGTAAAACAATGATGCATTGTTAGTCCAAAGGGATGAAAACTTTATTTTATTACTTGACATGTCACGAGTTGAAGTGACTTTGACAAAGCGTTACGCGCTATCCACGATTCGCACCTCGCCTTTTTTGGCAAACGTTAGCTCGCTCCAGGCAAAAACGTTTCCCTTGCTTTTCTCTTTTCCCCTGAAGACGGACCGCAAACTCCTGATGGACAGAACCCGACTCCACATGTTCAGGTCTTTGATTCTTCCCACGAAGCTTTGGGAAACGTCGAAGCTGTGCCCGAGCGCGTCCTGGTCCTGGCCGAGCATGGCGATGCCCCCGGGTCTCACGGTGTGCCTCTTACGGTACACGCTGTTGGCGGATCTTCTCCCGTTCACCCACAGCTCGCAGCGCCCGAACTTCGACTCCCACGTCAGGCAGATGTGCTGCCACTCCTTTCTCCTGTCCAGCTTTGCCAGCATCAGGCCCTCTCCGCTCATGTAGAACCCCAACTTCCCGGTCGCTTCCAGCCACAGGTTGAGCTCGTCGTAGTACAGACTGCGGTAAGAGAATAAGATGGTTTCCCTGTGTTTCGGGACATCCAAAGACACCTTCATGCAGAGGGAGAAGGCATTTAATATCAGTGGCAGAGCCGGGGTCAGGTCGATATAACTGTTGTTGCTTTCTTTAGGGAACAGGAAGTATTTTCCTGTCAGATCTGAAAAAGGGAAGGTGGGTATTGGGTTAGAATCCGGCAAAATGATGTGAACAAAGAAATCGCACTGGGGGCTTCAATGGAAACGCAGCGCAGTGGGCTCATTCCCGCACTGGCCCCCACCGTAATTTGATTCAGCCATGAGTTATCCTCCGTCTTCGTGAAGACTGAGGATGTACTTTGAGCCAGTGGCGTAACCATCACCGTAGCGACTCAGACGGCCGCTATGGGGCCTGGGGGCACAGGGGGGCCCGGCCAGGACATTCCTGATGCCCTGCGGGGCCGCCTGGGTCGCTGTGGCATCTCACGCTGCTGGCTGTCACTGGCGGCTGTGAAGAGGAACGCGCCGCTGGCGGCGATCTGTGCAGCGATGCGTTCCTCTCCACAACCGCTGCTGAGTCAGTGAGAGCCAGCGGCGGCGGTGGAGCAGTCAGTGTGGAAGGAGGCGGGGCCCGGGGGGTTGGCATCAGAGTAGGAGGCGGGGCCCAGCAACGGGGGCGGGTCCGGCGACAGGGGAGGAGGCGGGGGCTCATCACCGACGGTGGAGGAAGAGGAGGCGGACAGGTAAGGAGTGTGACCCTGCAGAGCCCATCTTAGATAGTCTATGGTGGGCTCTGCAGGGTCACCTGCAAGGGGTGGGCTCTGCAAGGGGTGCAACTAGAGATCAAAGGGGCCCTATACAAAATTTTGCTATGGGGCCCTGTGATTTCTAGTTCTAGCGCAGGCTGTCAAGGGGCCGCAATACCCTCCAATCACAGTGTATAGGTGCAGGAAGCTGTGCCTTCTACATCTCCAATTTCTTGAGTTGTTCTGTAAAGTAACTAAAAAAAACATACTAGACGTTTCAGTTTCCTCAGACCTTTCACCGCCTGGAAAGAAGGTGAAAGAGAAATAGTTAACTCAAGGAATTCATGAGACACACAGGACAGTTTTCCATCTTCATAATTGATATGCAAGTCCCGCAGCTTCACAAACACTGCGGCAAACAGCCAATGACAGTCAAACACTATGATATTCTGATATTGGTCAAGTTACTTTTTATCTAATAAACAACAAAGTACTCAACAATAATGGTAGAATTTTTACAACTTACTTGATGCTGATGTTTGTTGAAGATCCAAGACGACTAAACAAAACAGAAACAACATTTTTCTGAGCACCACAAAAGTCACCGGAAAAACCTTCATTTTATCTATCCAGAAAACATTACACGGGTCTTAAATCTGCCCTCTATACAGCAAATGCAAACACTGCGTCACGGCATTCTGTGGAGCAACACCCAACAACAAGAAGGACAGCAGGAATGACAGTTGCGAGAGTGATTCCATTGAACCCTAAGCCCTGGTTCACACCTAGGCGTATTGCATATGCGCGTCTGTTGCGCGTTTTTTTTTACCGCGATTCGCCCAAAGTAGTACATGTACCTTTTCAGGCGTGGGCCGTTTTGTAGCGCGTTAGGGACGTGCTGAAATACGCCAAGGTGTGAACCAGACCCATTGAATACAATGGGATTTAGATGTTTGAGCGTTTTGTAGAGCGTTCGTCGAGCGTAGAACGCGCTACAAAACGTTCAGGTGGGAACGAGGGCTTATTGATTAGGGTACAGGTGTGCGCTGCAGAGAGACCCGGCCAACAGTGCTGAATAAGGACCAGCAGGTACGGTTGCCACCTGCCCGGGATTCACCCAGACAGTCCGGGTTTTGAATGCTGTGTCCGGGTTTCACAGCAGCTGAAACCCGAACACATGTTGTCAGCCAGACAGGAGCAACCAAAATTAAGATAGGGGATACTCGCCCCCCACTGAAAATAGCCTTGACTGTGATATTTGCATATGAATGGGTGGAGCTATTTACATATAAATAGGCTCGTGACTCATTCTCAAAAAAACATTTCCGTGCATCACTAGAGTGTTCGGGTTTCGCTAAAAGAAAAGGTGACAACCCTACCAAGGCTCCAGGCCAATCACTACAGATTTTTGTATGGAGAGAAAGGAGTAGAGCACCAAGTCATAGAGAATTAGGCCAGATATGGAAAGTTGACAAAGAGGTGCACCTAGTAGACTTGTGCGCCGTCCAAAAATTTGTTCCTTTTCGTTTCGTTCCGTTTCGTAATATCCGTTATTTCGTATTTCGTGTCCGAAACTCAATTCGGATTCGTACGAAATACGGATTTTCGTTAATTTCGGGACATTTTCGTAACTTTACGAACATTCGTTATGATGAAGTTAAAAAGCAAAAATACCTTTGTTAATATTGGAGTCGATGTGGTAGTTGTTGTTTTTGTATCCGAAATACGAATTCCGTTAACAGATTCCGGATCCGAATTTCGTATTAAAAAAAACTACCATCAACTCCAATATAAATGTACTTTGCTTTTTAACTTCAATATAACGAATGTTCGTAACGGAACGAAAATACGTCAACGGAATTTCGTATTTCCTGCCTGTGTATTGTAATGCAACTCTCAGCAGCAGCGGATCCGTATTTCATATTTCGGATTAAAAAAAAAATCTTGTCATGTTGTTCAACCTCATTTACAGGGGTAATATTAGTTCCCGTTTCAAAGAAATTCGGATCTGAAATTCGTTAACGGAATTTCGTATTTCGGATATAATTCGGAAACTGCAATTCGGATTTCGTATGCTTCCGAATTTACTGTTGAGATCCACCCAGCTGCGTGAATGACAGCTGGCTCGGCCTATCTAGAGGCAGAGCCAGCTGTTCCCGCCCCCTCCCTCGTCCGTTCCGCCAGTCAGCGCTGGAGGATCAGACAGGGGAGGGGGCGAATTCCTGCAGGGAGCCGTGAGTGACAGTCACCACTCTCTGCAGGGAGATGATCAAGAAGTGAGCGAGCGACGGTATGTGTTCGCTCACTTCCCGATCTATTGAGCCGACGTGTGACAGTTTCATTGTCACACGTCGCCCCGAACTATGAGGCTGAGTGATTTTCACTCCCCTCATAGTTCTCCTTTAACTCCTAAACTTAGTGTCACTGAAATATTTCAAGCAAAACCCTTTTGGGAACAACAGAGGTCATGCCTTCTACATACCTTCTTGAGCAACAGGTTCACCAAATACTTGGACTTCACAGAGGTTTAGGTAGTGTGTTTGGTTGGGCAAATGAATGGTAACGTACCGGCCCTCCATTCCTTTGCAGTTAAAGGACATTGTCTCCCCATAATACATCTTGAATACAGTTTCACATCTGGAAGACAGAATAAAGGGAATCTGTCACGACTGCAACATCCGAGCTGCATTTGCTGACTAGTTTTGAAGCTACAAGTTGAGTTGTCTTTCCTCTGGAGCTCCTATCTGCTCACTTCAGGTTGGTGGCTTCAAGGACCGTTCCAAAATTTTTACCTGCTAGACAAACGTACCTGGGGTTGCCGACTCCACCGTCCTCCTTAGAATTTCCAACACGAATCTCAGCGCCATTAATATACTCTCGGCAGCAGTCACCCCGATTGGTGATGGCCACGGACTGGACGCGATGGGTGGATTTTAAATCCACCCTCCACCACGGGTTCCTTTGAAGAGCTGTGTGAGTGCACTCCTGTCGCATGTAATTACTCTGCAGAGATCCATCAATGGCTCTTTTTGCATCATCTTTGGAACTATAATGAGATGATTGGGATGCAAAGCCTTGCGGAGCCACATTCTTGACTTTTGGATAGAAAAAAAAACAACAACATTATTACCTCAGAATTTTCTTCTCTCTCTCTCACTCTCTCCCCCTTCCATCTTTCCTCTCTCTCTCGCCCTCTCTATCCCCCCCTTTCCATTTATCCGAAATACGAATTCCGTTAACAGATTCCGGATCCGAATTTCGTATTAAAAAAAACTACCATCAACTCCAATATAAATGTACTTTGCTTTTTAACTTCAATATAACGAATGTTCGTAACGGAACGAAAATACGTCAACGGAATTTCGTATTTCCTGCCTGTGTATTGTAATGCAACTCTCAGCAGCAGCGGATCCGTATTTCATATTTCGGATTAAAAAAAAAATCTTGTCATGTTGTTCAACCTCATTTACAGGGGTAATATTAGTTCCCGTTTCAAAGAAATTCGGATCTGAAATTCGTTAACGGAATTTCGTATTTCGGATATAATTCGGAAACTGCAATTCGGATTTCGTATGCTTCCGAATTTACTGTTGAGATCCACCCAGCTGCGTGAATGACAGCTGGCTCGGCCTATCTAGAGGCAGAGCCAGCTGTTCCCGCCCCCTCCCTCGTCCGTTCCGCCAGTCAGCGCTGGAGGATCAGACAGGGGAGGGGGCGAATTCCTGCAGGGAGCCGTGAGTGACAGTCACCACTCTCTGCAGGGAGATGATCAAGAAGTGAGCGAGCGACGGTATGTGTTCGCTCACTTCCCGATCTATTGAGCCGACGTGTGACAGTTTCATTGTCACACGTCGCCCCGAACTATGAGGCTGAGTGATTTTCACTCCCCTCATAGTTCTCCTTTAACTCCTAAACTTAGTGTCACTGAAATATTTCAAGCAAAACCCTTTTGGGAACAACAGAGGTCATGCCTTCTACATACCTTCTTGAGCAACAGGTTCACCAAATACTTGGACTTCACAGAGGTTTAGGTAGTGTGTTTGGTTGGGCAAATGAATGGTAACGTACCGGCCCTCCATTCCTTTGCAGTTAAAGGACATTGTCTCCCCATAATACATCTTGAATACAGTTTCACATCTGGAAGACAGAATAAAGGGAATCTGTCACGACTGCAACATCCGAGCTGCATTTGCTGACTAGTTTTGAAGCTACAAGTTGAGTTGTCTTTCCTCTGGAGCTCCTATCTGCTCACTTCAGGTTGGTGGCTTCAAGGACCGTTCCAAAATTTTTACCTGCTAGACAAACGTACCTGGGGTTGCCGACTCCACCGTCCTCCTTAGAATTTCCAACACGAATCTCAGCGCCATTAATATACTCTCGGCAGCAGTCACCCCGATTGGTGATGGCCACGGACTGGACGCGATGGGTGGATTTTAAATCCACCCTCCACCACGGGTTCCTTTGAAGAGCTGTGTGAGTGCACTCCTGTCGCATGTAATTACTCTGCAGAGATCCATCAATGGCTCTTTTTGCATCATCTTTGGAACTATAATGAGATGATTGGGATGCAAAGCCTTGCGGAGCCACATTCTTGACTTTTGGATAGAAAAAAAAACAACAACATTATTACCTCAGAATTTTCTTCTCTCTCTCTCACTCTCTCCCCCTTCCATCTTTCCTCTCTCTCTCGCCCTCTCTATCCCCCCCTTTCCATTTCCCCCTCTCTCTCTCTCTCCCCTCTCCATCTTTCCCCTCTCTCCCCTTTCTATCTCCCCCTTCTATCTTCTCTCTCTCTATCTCTCTCACCCCCCTCTCTCCCCTTTCC